GGCACATTATTTATCACGCGCATCGCGTAATTGTCACAAATTGTGCGAAATATTTTGCAATCCCGAAAATTTATGGAAAGTCTCCAGAACATTTCAGTTGAAAGTGCAGTGAATCAGTGGGCAACGGATGAACGGCAGACGTAATGGTATAGAAGTTGGGAACAATAAATAAATACATTAATTTATCGAAAGCGCTCCTACGTTGCTAGTCTTCAACTCCATGCAAATTTATGACGATAATGCATGTGTGCAGGCTTGTGTGTCACATTCAAGTGAACCATTAATAAAAAGTAACACAGCATAGTTCGATGCTTTGACATTAGCGGCGAATAAGTAAAAGTATATGGGATAATTGCCAATCGAACATCCTACACATAAAAATGTGTCAATAAATTGTAAGAAAAAACCTTAAAGCTGTTGCTTCCCGACATAAGAGTGTTCTCTTTTACATAGCTAGACGTAAGAAGTAATGAAGAACATTATATAAATTATATATAAAAATAGAAGAATAAGTAGACCGATTACTTACTCATTTTTAACCCATTGTTAACATCAATTCCGATTATTTTAGTCACAGTTGCCATCTATCAGATATTATTTGTAATAATTTTTGCATCAATAGTGGGAAGCGGTAGTGGACTCTAATTATTACGATTTGGCATATTTCTAGGTGAAGGTTTCGTAATAGATTATATTAAATTTTCTTTGCAAGCATCAGTGTATAAGAGTAGTAGTTGCATACTATTATCTACACCATAAAGATAAGACAAACATTTAATTAGATTCCTTTGACAGGACCTATTGTTTAAAGTGAGACAAAATAATCGTTATGATATGTACTTAACCGACAACCACGCCTATTTCCCATACAACAAAAATTTAAATTCTATCTGATTTTTCCACTCGATGTACAATCCAGAAGAAATTGATATAACTTTGTACAAATAACACCCTTTGAGTGTACCATCTTCTAAATCCAATCTGTCTAAATCCAACAAAAACTCTTGAAGCCTTTGCATACCGAATGTACAATGTATGGACCCTAATACCATGTGCCAAATTTATAATTGAAATTTACAGAGAATCCCTTCTTGATAGTAGTAGAATAAGTGAGTCGAATTGGCTCAATAATTCCCTGAACCCCCACATACTTAATACAAAGATTTTTGAAAATCTAATTTCTTAATACTAAGTATCGCAAAATTTGGTTATTAACTAGAAGTGAAGTAAACACTTGATAAACGTCGCCACAATCAATCAAGAAAAATAACTTGTAGTGAGAGGAATTTAAATCTTTCAATTTCCCTTTTCTCCCTCGAAACAATTTATTCTTTTTTCTTTAGGCGTCCTTTGACTTTGGCAGCATGTGCTGCTAATGAGTGTATAGGAATTCTTGGCCGTTGCCACGAAACCGTTGCTTATGAATTATGTATACTATACAGAATTAGTATTGAAATGCTTCGTGGGTACAGTAGCTTATAAATGGCACGAGGGTGCCACACTCCCTTGTGTGGGTAAAACGTACGTATGTACATATAAAGGGAACGACGGATGTGCTGTGTGATATTCTATCTTACCATATACATATTATATAATATGTAGTTATCAATTTAAAGTTTAATTTAATTTTATTACTTCTTTCCACTTGTATTTTCGTAAAATCGATAACACGGATGTAGAACCGGTCAAAATATTTGTGAAATCTGAAATTTGTACTTAACATTCATATTCACAGTAAAAGCAGCCACGATGTTATCGAAATAGGTTTATAGTTTTTTTGCAGATCTGTTACGAAAAATTACTTTATATCTGTCCACATGGGCACTAAGCACTTTAAGTATAAGGATCAGGAAAAAACTATCTCCCAAGAGATTTTCTTATCAAAATCAGAACTCTATGTTACTGAGCCCCATTTTGTGTTTACTGAAAAGAAAATTCAGTGATAAATGTACGATTTTTTTTAATCATTTATTTTTAGTAGATCATCAATCTCTAATAGAGATCTATTTTGTTACTGTTAGTTTAATATGAAATGTAATTTATGTTTGTGTATTCAACTTTTTTCCGTATTCTAGTATGTAAAATACCAAAATAAACCTGACTATCGATTTTTGTAGTTATCTTTTAGACATGGTGGGCGTTATGCATCATTGATTCATTTGCTGTACTCAAAATTTTGTTCCACAAAATTCGCTTTACGCTATTTCATAAGGGGTCGTGTTGAACCGCTTCTGTTTTTTGTAAATTTTTTTACCCCGTTTATTGAATGCTCGATTGATAGACTAATTTAATTTCAATGCTGAGTCGCAAGTTAAATAATCGCGCCAGTTGAATGAGAGTACGTTTTATCGCTAGATGAGGTTCGACCGAAAGTATCCCTCTTGATATCATTGAAATTGGCAAGCGACTACTTAAATTGTTGTTTCCTCAATAAGAATTTTTTTGGGTTTTATAATGTCAATAATTTTATAAATTAATGAAAACATTTAAAACGAAATCATTACAAGTCTTATAGAACCACCCTCACGGTTCATAAATTGGAAAATTGGGGGGAAAAAAAAAACAAATTTACTTATTGTAGACATGTTTTGTATTGCGTGTTTTTTATTCACAATGAAATTGTTAACTCGTTGGTCAGTATAATATTTATTTGCTTAACGGTGAAGCATGGCGATGGAAATGTTATGATTTGAGACCCTGTGGCTGCATCTAGAGTAGTGTTTGTGAAGGCCAAAATGGATCGTTATCAATATAAGAATATATTATATAAGAATCGCGGAACACATTATTCAAGAATGGCTGCTTTACTATGCTCCACGACAATTAAATAGTTCACTGCAGAGCCTTATTTTAGTGCTTAGTTATAGGTTTTCCTTTAATGACGTTTTGTGGGCGTGGCAGTAGTGCAATTACGCCCATCAACGAACTCGTAATTTTGTTTGCCAAGGAACATGTGTACCAAGTCTCATCAAAGATATCTCAATTTTTACTCAAGTTACAGGTTGCACTTATGGACAGATATTCATACAGTCACCCGAATTTCAAATTTTCACGTCATCCTTGTCMTTTATACATAATACAATGCAGCTTCCTTCTGACATTTCTTCCGTAAAATTTTGTGTTTCTGACGTTTTTGTTAGTCAGTTAACGCACTTTTAGTGATTTTCAACATAACCTTTGTATGGGAGGTGGTGAAAATTACGTCCAAATATGCCCCTCCCTAATGCGATCCTTTGTGCCAAATTTCACTTTAATATCTTTATTTATGGCTTAGTTGTGGGCGTGGGAGTGGGCCGATTTTTCGCATCTTCGAACGTAACGTTCTTATGGAGACTGGAAATACGTGTACCAAGTTTCATCATGATATCTTAATTTTTACTCAAGTTACAGCTTGCACGGACGGACGGACGAACAGACAGACATCCGGATTTCAACTCTACTCGTCACCCTGATCACTTTGGTATATATAACTAAAATATATCTGACTCTTTTAGTTATAGGACTTACAAACAACCGTTATGGGAACAAAACTATAATACTCTCTTTAGCAACTTTGTTGCGAGAGTATAAAAATAACAAACACATGCGAGAAATGTAGCACATGAAAATTTTCATTAGCTCCGCTCTGCTACCGCTCCCAATTTTTTGCTCTCGCTACAGCTATAGTTTTTTACCTAACAAAACTCGGAGCTGAGTAGAGCACATTCTTTTACATTGTTATGCTATGGATATGCTGTGGCCCCCGCAAAGTGAGAGCGGTAGCGATAGCATAGAAATAATTCTAGAAATTTTGCTGTTACGGAGTAGTAAATGAAAATCCTGTATATAAATAACTCTATTGTAGGTGCTACCTACAATCGTTTCGTGAACAATACTGTAGCAACCTATTGCAAGAGTTGATGGAATTTCCGGTGATGACGGATTTTAATGTTCCCACATGTTGATCGTCATTTATGTCCTCACGACCACTTTGAACAGATTGAAACAACTCGTGCACTTTGCTACGGGATGGGCAATCATCTCCATAAACTTGTTTGACCAATTGAAACGTTTCGGTAGAAGTTTTACCAATTGTAAAACAAAATTTACTGTTGGCTCTTTGTTCGAAGCTCATTTTCGCACCGATAACATAAACATACTGACACTTAAAACGCAATAACTTCATTTCCAATCAATGAAATGTCATGATTCCACTGAACAATCGATAAAGATAGCATATGTAAACGCACCAGTCGACATATACATGGCGCCACCAGGTGGCGCTACATTCAAAAGTCCTGTTTTCTTTGGAATGCTTCTTGTACATATACATATGGTATACGGTCAACAGGAAGTTTGAAACGCTTTTAATAGGTATATAGGAGATAGGTGTTGTATTGACTCTGTTTTATTAATTTTTGACATTACAACATAATATAACAGAAACAGATTCTCTCTGAACTTTATTAAGGTACCTCATAGAACAACATCAACAATACAAGTATTGGTTGTATGGGTTTAATGAGCACGCTACTTTTGAAAAAAATTTCATACCATAAATGGCTCTCATTATTACGATTCGTGGCATATAATGTAGCGTATAATATACGACAGTTTCTGATCTTAATTTTTGGCTTATGACGTTTTGTAAACGCGACAGTGGTCTACGAACTCATCCCTCATTTTATGCATGAAAACGTGTACACTTTTTCTTACAATATCTCAATTTTTATTCAAGTTACAACCTGCACGGATGGATGCACAGACCCATTGTCCTCCGGATTTCAACGCCGTCTGTTATGATGATCATTTATAAATATACATATATGTATATATATAACTTCATATCTATGATATCTCGATTAGTTTTAGGTGATACGCGCAACCGTTAGGTGAACAAAATTGTTATACTCTGTGGCAACATATTGCAACAATATAATAAAGAACAACATCTTCTTTAATTGTATAAAATCACACATATTTATTTAAATTTTAATTAAAAGAACTTATCCTTACATAAGATAGTTAAGAGTATTTCCTTATTCACTTAACACTACTAGAGCATGGCGGGTACTCCAGCCATGCTGCGGTTTGCTTTGGTTTAGAACTGCACAGCACATCTCCTATTATTTCATTTACGGTTATCGTGCTTCGTTTTTACTGCAGCCGGATATCCTCTTGGAACGTTGTTTGATCGCCACTCTGGATTATATAGTTGGCTGCGCTGAAGCCGTTCTCCAGCATCTCACAAAGTGCCGTTATATAAGTCTGCGCCATTTGTAACGTCTCATATTTGGACAGTTTTTGATCAATCGTAGGAGCGGGCACTACTTCTCGCAGGCGGTCGAAGGCCTCATTCAAACCATTCATGCGTTTGCGTTCCCGTGCATTTGCTGCTTGGCGCCGCCGCTTAAGCACAGTAGGGCTAGGAGGTTGCAAAGCGGTATCTGGTCTTTTTGTCAGTGATTCTTTGCGGAAATGACCGCCAGAACGTCTGCTGGATTTAGCAATTTTAGTTGTAACAGGTGAACCAGACACACTGGGTGTGGTGCTGATAGATGCTGTTTCATTACAGGAACCTATACTGGTATTAAAATCATACTGCTGCTGGAGCTGTGCCGAGTTATAGGTGTAGCTTTGATAGAGTTCGGATTCGGAGATGTGTTGTAATGGGCTACCTTGTGTATAGCTTACAGCTGAAGACCAGTCGCGCAACATTTCGCAATTTTCTTTGTAACCACTCACATCGATTTGCGTGTAGCTGGGACTACTTATGCAGCGTTGCGACCCATCCTCCTCAGAAGACGCGTAAGATAAATCACTAAAATTGGCTGCAAATGTGTCAAACAAATGCGATTGTTGACTTTGTTGCCGTAAGATCTTTTGCTGTAACTCTAAAGAGCTAGCGTTCAAGTTCATATTCTTTTGATCCTCACTTCACTGTATTTCAACACGGACTGTTTGTTCGTCTAAGCTACTTTCGCCATTGAAGTGTTCAAATATACTCCGTCATCGAAAATATTTAAAAGGCCAACTGTTCATCTGCGCGCGTTCTAGCTGCCATTTGATGGTCTGCAAACAAAATTTTGACCAACTGGCACGCGAGAGACACGAGCGCGTGCGGCAGACATCCCTCATTGAGTCGGCGTTGACCATATGGACGCAGTCAGCTAGCCGCAATATGAGAAAACAAAGCAAAGAAAAAACTTAAATAAAATATTACATTGAAAAAGTGCGATAGGAGGAACGTAAAACAGTTAATTTAAGGATCATCACAATTAACATATCAGTAGCGGCAGGATCAGTGCCACACTTCTTAGTGCCCATAGTGGCTATTACTTCAACGGGAATTAAGGGTTGGCTTTCGTCCAAGTCACCTTTATTTAACCTGCGCTTGGCCATCCTGTCTTTACGCTGCTTCTTCCCTAAATTGAGGCTATCATGGAATGCGATCGTATAATTTGTGACGTTCACGGTTAGGGGCTCTCTATAACCGCTCCACCGCAAATAATAAAAATATAAACAACATCAGCTATCCACAAATATTAAGAGAAGAATAAATGGTAGCTCGTGTCATCGTTGACTCTTTGGCCATATGTTCCACTCAACGCACTTACAGGCTCTCCAGTGCGCGCTAAAATTGCCGTTATCTTCACCCCAATGCCTATGCTCTTCCTACATTCAATGTACATTCGGTTACCCTTAAGTATTACTCCCTGGGCTGTTGTTAACGTATGTTAGTGTTGAGTGTAATGATTATTATATTTTTGTTATAGTATAGTTGGAGTTGCTACTGGCTTTACTATTTTTATACCATGAACAGGTTTGCAACGAAGTTTGTAACACTCAGAAGGAAGAGTCGGCTTACCATGGTATAGAGCTGCTATACAAACTGAACGATCGGGATCTAGTGCTGGTATGGAAAACTTTTGCGTTTGACGTGGTATCTTCACGAAATTTGATACAGATTATTTTCTAAGGCAACAATGTAATATCCGAAGAAATTTTTCAGATCGGCTGCCATACAAACTGAATGATCGGAATCAAATGCTTGCATGGGAAACTTCTTCATTTGACGATATATCTCCACGAAATTTTGCATGGATTACTGCTTAAGGTAATAATAGAATATCCCATAAATTCTTCAGATCGGATTACTATAGCATATAGCTTCCATTCAAACTGTGAAGGGTATATTAGCTTCGATGCAGGCAAATTTAAATTTTTTTCTTGTTGTTTTTGTCTTTATTAATGTTTATTTCATTATCTCTTGCGTTACCTAGCCGTGTTTTAATATTCTATTTGTAGCCTTAGTTGAAAAGTTTGAAAGTTGTGCGGAAATAAGCCAACGAACTTGACATTGAAAGCCTTTCATTTTCACCTTATTCACTTGGTATTTATCATGGCAAAGCATTAACCGATTCTTCGATAGCTTTCGATAGTCTTTCTGGTATTTAAGCCAAAATTTCATTCAGAAAGACTGAATTGTAAAACATAAATAAATTGGCAAAAAAAGTGCGTGAAACCCAAATTTTTAGAAAATGTTGGCATCAATAATTTCACAGAAAATATCCACAACTGTAAAATAGTCAACTTCTGGGTCCATTTTGTAAATTTGCTAGTCTTGCCAACATAATCCCTCAAGAAATTATATCTTTTACAGTCATACTTGCAATTCCTGCTTATAGATATGTCAACACTACTTTTTTGCATTCTTCCATTTTTCGTACGAATTCCTTACTTGCCTTCAAATATAATATTTATAATCATTTGCCTGACAAACCTGAATTACTTAATGAAATAAAATAATATAAATATATTATTAGGACAAATAATAAATAAATAATTCACAAAATCGCTCATTCCAAAATTAGTATTTCATGTTTATTTTAGAAAATATAATTTTCTTAAGAGTAATAAAATTACTGGCTGCTTTAATAAGAAATGTGAAGATTCCTTTAATAAGATTATTTGAATATAATATGTTTCTCTTAGAAAATATCTTATGCAGTACGTTTATGTATAGAGTGACAGGCGGGCAGTATAACCTAATCAATGCTGATAAAATATCATTTGAATACATTAAAACAAAAAACTAAAAAAAAAAAACACCATAAACTTGTGATTAAATTCCCCCGGGTAAATGATATTTCAAAACAAGTAAGGAAGGGCTAAGTTCGGGTGTCGCCAAACATTTACACTCGCATCAAATACCGTCTTTGTGTAAAGTTTTATTCCGCTATCATCATTGGTTCCTAATGGATATATTATACAGAGAAGGCATCAGATGGAATTCAAAATAGTGTGATATTGGAAGAAATGGTAGTTGTGAACCGATTTAACCCATATTTCGTACGTGTCATCAGGGTGTTAAGAAAATATTATATACCGTATTTCATTGAAATCGGTCGAGTAGTTCCTGAGATATGGTTTTTGGTCCATAAGTGGGCGATGTTTAAAAAAAGCTTGGGTGCATCTTCCTTCTGCCATTTCTGCGTAAAATTTAGTGTTTCTGATGTTTTTTGTTAGTCGGTTAACGCACTTTTAGTGATTTTCAAAATAACCTTTGTATGGGAAGTGGGCGTGGTTATTGTCCGATTTTTTCTATTTTTGAATTTCATTGAAATCGGTCGAGTAGTTCCTGAGATATGGTTTTTGGTCCATAAGTGGGCGACGCCACGCCCATTTTCAATTTTTAAAGAAAGCCTGGATGCAGCTTCTTTCTGATATCTCTTCCGTAAAATTTAGCGTTTCTGACGTTTTTTGTTAGTCGGTTAACGCACTTTTAGTGATTTTCAACATAACATTTGTATTGGAGGTGGGCGTGGTTATTATCCGATTTCTTCCGTTTTTGAACTGTATATGGAAATGCCGGAATGAAACAACGCTGTAGAGTTTGGTTGACATAGCTATAGTAGTTTCCGAGATATGTACAAAAAACTTAGTAGGGGCGGGCCCACGCCCACTTTTCCAAAAAAATTACGTCCAAATATGCCCCTCCCCAATGCGATCCTTTCTGCCAAATTTCACTTWAATATCTTTATTTATGGCTTAGTTATGACACTTTATAGGTTTTCGGTTTTCGCCATTTTGTGGGCGTGGCAGTGGGCCGATTTTGCCCATCTTCGAACTTAACCTTCTTATGAAGCCAAGAAATACGTGTACCAAGTTATCATGATATCTCAATTTTTACTCAAGTTACAGCTTGCACGGACGGACGGACAGACAGACATCCGGATTTCAACCCTACTCGTCACCCTGAACACTTTGGTATATATAACCCTATATCTAACTCTTTTAGTTTTAGGACTTACAAACAACTGTAATGTGAACAAAACTATAATACTCTCTACTAAAAATCTCTACTAAAAATATGCTTTGATAAGTTGCTAGAGCTGTCCTTAATTACTATGCCCAGAGCGGTACATGGATAAAAATATCGAACAAAGAATTTGTCTTAAATTTTATATTGCTAACCAAATTTCGTTCGTTCTTGACGATATTCGACCTCTTCAATTGATGAAAATATTAAGAAAGTGAAGGACATGAATTCTTTTCAAAAAGAGTACGATTGTGACCGAATTTAAAGCCAAAAAAACGCAATGAATACCATCGAAAAACTACCGTATTTACCATAGTTGACAACGTGGGATTTTTTTTTACACCTCAAACTGAAATTGCCAACTCGTGGAAGCCGTTTTCAGCCGATCGAAGAGATAAAACAAAATTCGCTGAAGGAGTTAAAGGCTCACCCAAAAGTGGTTATGAAAAGTATTTCGGAAAAATCGTTGGCATTACATCTGGTGAAGATCACTTCGAAGGCGGCAAAATAAATGATGAGGAATTAAATATTTTGCATTTTTTTACAATTTCCGGTACTTTTTTGTCACAAAGAATATGTAGTTAGTGGTACATACATATCTAGGTATATTCTCATAAATTCAATTTATTTTAACACTATTACTAATCGAGATAGATATGCTCTAGTATAGACTAAGTAGTTTATAAAAATAGTATTCGTTTAATTAACAGATGTCGAATTTATCAAAATCTGTGGTTCATGACATTTTGACGGAGCACTTGAACATGCGCAAGGTATACGCGAAGATGGTCCCAAAAGGGCTCACTGACGAGCAGAAAATTTGAACGTAACGTAATGACAGGTGATGAGTCATGGATGTTTGAGTATGATCCCAAGGCAAAGAAGCAATCTTCCCAGGCTATTCCGAAGAATGCCTTCCGTGACGTCTTCCATACTTGAAAACATCCCTGCCGCTGACAGCGCTGCATTGACGCAGAAGGAGCCTATTTTGAAACTTTTTAAAGAATTGTAACGATTGGTTCAATATTTTTTTTTAACTACTACTACTACTACTTTCCGGACAAACCCTGTAAGAGTATAATAAAGAGTTAAGAGGTGTTCCGTTATTTGTTCGCTATTTCACATAGCGTAACATTTGGCTGTTCAACTTTTTTCGTCCTTTGTGCAAAGTGTACGCTTTGGTTCACTTTTTAGCTTCAGCCCAGATGCAACCTTAACTAGGCTTTCGTGCTTTGCACACCAGATGCCCAACATAGTGTTTGTTGCTGTCTTTCATTGTTTCTGTGAACTTATCCTTAGCACTTCATTCATTAAATATCCCGTATTAACCGCTCGGCTCTCAGTCGCGTAAAAATGAAACAAGTTAATGGCGCAGTGTGTTTAACAGGACTATGCCAATGTGCATTTATGTAGATCCTTGCAATGGCCGTTACACTATTCTTATATATGTATAGAAAAATATGTAGGTACATTTATAGATTTGTAGATATACTTGTACTACAGAGCATATACATATATACATAACTTCGAGTGCGGCTTTATATCATTTTTTTTTAAGTTGTTCCTACCTCTTGTCCTTTTACTTCTTTCCTTCTTTCCATTTGTAATCTCCAAATTGTTTATATGCTTATGTTTCATTTATAGTG